TGCAAAACTGAAAGGAAATAAAGTAGGAAAAAGGAAACATTGGAAAAAGTAGGAAAAGTTAATTCCTTGGTTCTGTGTGTGTGTGTGTGTGTGTGTGTGTGTGTGTGTGTGTGTGTGTGTGTGTGTGATTTCAGTTTTAGGTCATTTCACTACAACTTGTGATTTTAGTTGAAATGTTCACTAACCTTGAACTTCTTTCTGGTGTAGCAGCTGATTTAAGTTTGGGTACTCTCGAGTAATAAAATACGTCACAGATGTCAAGCAGTGTGTTTCAGTGTACAGGGAATTTTTTCATTTGGACTACCTGGTATGAGTTTTTCCCCTTTTTTGGATCCATCACTTGAGTTTACAAACATTTTTCAGCATTTGGTAAGCTAGCTATAGTTTCAACTGAGGAGCAGTGAATCGAGAGCTAGATTACTTCCTTGTTTCATCTCGGAAAAAATATAGCTGATTTCCTCCAACTTGTACAGACTCTTATTCATTGCATTTAATGTGTTAGATGCCCTGTCGAGTAGCTACAACCTATAATCAGTATAAAGTAAAATCTTTATTTTATTTTTTTGTCATTAACACTGTGAGTTGAGAGTTGTTTTTTGTCTCAGTAGTGCTTCTGTTTTCTAATCTAAAATAGGGTAATAGCAAGAAAAGACAGACAATAAACAATGTATTTTAATGTTGCTCATATTTATCTTCCTCCATTCAGTGTTTACCAGGTTCAAATGAACTATAAAAGTCGTCTGATCCCTCCAAGCATCTGATCCCTTGTTTTAAAGAAAACTTTGATTTTCCAAAATGTTTCCTACTGTTTGCATTAAGTGACTGAACAGTCAGTGCTTATCATTTTTCTCCAGGTTTCCCAGCACAAAGAGGCTGAGATGAATATTGGCACCTCCATGCCTGAGAAACATGGTCTTTAGGTAACTCATACAGAGTGTGTTACCCACTCTTTATGAGCTACTGCCTTAGGTGGAGGAGTTAGAGTATATCAGGGTTTTGTTAATGTGTGGCAGAAAAGCAATGGGGCATTGACAAATGGATGGTAGCAGCATATTCAGTGACACAAACAATGTACACGTATACAGTGCAGTGAAGAAAAAGCTGAGTGTGTCGGTAATGCCGTCGATTTACCCTTGACCTATGCCCACAATCTGTGGGTAGTGACGGAAAGAATGAGGTCGTGGATCCTTAAAATACAGGGAAGAGCTTCCTCCAGGTTTTGTCGGACCTCACCCTTTGAAATACTTTGTGGGGGGACTTTGTCTTGTAGTAGGGACTCACTGCAGAGCCTTCTGTATAAAAATGAGCCAGCTACTGTTTTGGTTTGTTTTGTTTTTTTTCCTTTTTTTGCATGGAGATTCTGGGGCAGACCAAGGACACCCTTGACTGGCTTGAGAATGCTTCAATTTTTCTGAGAGCTAGAGGAGGTGGGTGAGAAGAGAGAAGTCTGGGCAAAGCTTCCCAGACATACATGGATGGATGGATGATGGGGTGGCAATGGCAGGTGGTCAGTTCTCCTACTAAAGTAGATCTAAAGATCTAGTCTAATGACTAAAGTCACTCAAAATATAGACTGTAGAAATTGTGTCCCATAAGTCTGAGCTTTGTGGTGTTGGTGAAATGTCTTGATGACTACTAGAATAAATGTTGTGACACTTCTTGCTGACTTTTGTTCCTCTCAGGAAGAAAAGTACTAACTCTGGTGAAAAGTATCATTTTTACTAGCTGGTTTTTTTGGGGGGGGGGGGTTTTGGGGTTTTTTTTTTTTAAAGTCGATGATTCAACAAGTGTAGATGGTTCACCACCACGTGACTGGTATGAAGTTCTTTTTATGAAATGCTGTTAGTTTTACCAGATATAGCAAAATTTTAACTTTTGTCTCATCAGTCCACAGAATACCTTCCCAAAAGTCTTTGGGATCATCATGATGAGGTTCTTAGGTCAAAATTCATGATTCAACAATAACCTGAACACGATACAACACGACTTAGGCTACGTTCACACTGCAGGCGAAAGCTCATCAAATCCGATTTTTACCCATATCCGATAGGGCTGAACGATTATGGAAAATAATCTAATTGCGATTTTTTTGCCCCAATATTGCGATTGCGATGCGATATGCGATTATTTTTTAAGGTCTTTGTCTTCTGTATTATTAAACAAAGACAAGCAATACATCATATAGTATGGCCAATACTATATTACATTAATTTTAAACTGTTCTTTCCTGGAAGACAGACCTCTGTTATGATGACATGAGGTGATGCATGAATTGATGACTGACATTTTTATTTAACTTCTTCAATCACAACAGTATATTTGAACATACACAATAGTTTATTTTTAGCTTACAAACATCTGAGCATAAAGTGCTGACAAGGAACCCTGGTGTAAACATTAAAATGAAAGTCAGTACAATGTGCAGATTGCAGAAATATACATAAACAAAATCAGTGGCTTTACCACACTCAGTTTTTCGACATCTGTGAACTACTAGACAGTCATTCAATTAAAAAATAATATTAAATAAATAAAACTAATAAATAAAAAATACACACATCTTACTGATCTCTGCAGTCAGTAACATTACACATAAAGTGCAAACATAATAGCAATTGTATAAACACATACACAAACACGCCTTTAAAGTTTAAAGGCGTGAAATTGGACGGTCTAGCCTCTGATTAGCTAATCAGAAGGCTAGTTCTGATTAGCGTCACCGCTGTCTCGGTGGAGTTTAATAAACTCGGCCGTCTGCTTCTTGCTATCTAAAATATAACCAGACACTGGTGTAAATTCTCGACTGTCTCATACTTCTGTTTAATAAGTTTTCTGTTTGACGTTTAGTCAGCTGTGTGAAAACCAAGGAGGAACCCACCCGGGGGATTAATAAAGTTTTATTTTATCTAATCTAATAACTTTAATCTCAGCCAAACCGATTTACTCACGAACAAACAAAACACTGAAAAAAGCCCAACAATAACATTTTTAGGTTGTCTAAGTGACTTATATATTACGTTTAACCCGAGCAGCGAAACTCCGCGGTGATCTGAAAATGATGTGCCGGGAGTTGTGCCGTTCTCGGCCGCATCAGTAACCCTCGAGCTCCCGGCTAGCTGTCGAGCTGGTGGGTAGCAGACGCCTCTGAAAACGTCGAAGCACTTTTGCAAATATGGGATATCTTGATAAACCGAGCAGATATTTGATGTTTACACAACTACTTTCTCGCCTGAAAATATTTTAAAAGTTTATTTTGTGACCCAGAAAGATTAGTATGAGTAATTTTAAAACTTAGTAGCGGCCGCCATTGTTGGAAACTGGAGTTTGGCTGGGCCGCGCTATGAATTCTGGGATATGGTAGTAATTTGGACAGCCTTCGGCGCGTCGCTGTGACGTAATCGGTCTACAAATGCGGCCTCAGGAGGATGCAGCCCATGAATTTGGACATGTCCAGAGTATAATCGCAGCCTTTGCGGTTAGAAAATTGCACTTGATCATGTCGCGATATTATCGCAAATGCGATATATTGTTCAGCCCTAATATCCGATCATGGTATGACAGTGTGAACGGCACAAACCCGATATTTTCAAATCCAATCTGGGTCACTTTCGTATGTGGTACTGAATCCGATACATATCTGATGTTTTAGAAAGCGACTGCTGTTTGAATGGTCATGTCGCATTAAAGCAGTCTTTTCCGTCACTGGCACAAGACAGACGCTAATTGTCAGCGCCCGATAAGATCGTGAACGCTTCCTGGCCATCCAGTGTAGATGTTAGTAAAACTGTTGGGAAGACATTTTATTTGTACCGTGTAATCTGCAGATACTGACAGAAATCTGCAACTATCCTTTGAAGCACCGCTCCTCTCTAAAACAGCAATAAGGATAAATATTAGGCCATATGTAAATAACAAAATAACTTTATAACTTAAAGCAAAATTGTGAAACGTAAAGTCTGAAACAAGTCTTTATATTAAGGGCCATCAGTCAAACAATACTGTTTGACTTCTAAACAGAAGGCGTTGTGTGTGACGTCTTCTTTTGCACATGCGGGCCGCTTTGAGGGTTCACACTACAGCACGTTTGCTGTCCCATTTTATTTGTAGTGTGAACAAGCAGACAAAACAATTGGATTTGATCAAAAAATCAGAATTGAGCATTAAGACCTGCAGTGTGAACGTAGCCTGAGACAAGGTCTGCAGTTCTTTAGATGTTATTGGAATAAGGTTGGTAGGGCAGCCAAGGCCTGTCAAGGACATTGTTTCTTTAGATCATGGTATGACGTGTTCCTTTTTTAGATCTTTTAGCCTAGTTCACTTTGTCCGAATGGTTTTATTTATTACTTTATTTACATGATGATCATGGAAGAAAGCGCGCGGAAAAGCTGTGACGTTTACTCTTAGGTTCAGGTGGACTACACAGTCCACAGTATGTCCACAGTCAGGTGCACATATGGACTACAGTGACTAGTGTTGATCATCGGGTTAAAAATAAATATTTCTGTAAATGAGTCATGATTTTTTTTTTTTTTTTGAACCAAATCTTTTTTTGTATAATTTTGACAAAACAGAAACCTGATGGAAGGGTGTGAAACCGGCTGTCAAGACCAGGCCAACCTCAAACCTGCCAGGTCCATGTGGCTGAGCATCACTGAGCTGTGTGTTAGAGCAGATTGAATCAGATCAGAGGAGTGTCTCCATAAGATTAAAAAAAAAACAAAAACAGAGGCAGGTAAGGAGAGCAAAGGGGTTAATCCTCTGGAGGAAAAAGGCGAGGCTGCTTCAAAAAGGGGGCAAAGTAAGGTGCACACATGCAATATTGATTGAGTGGAGAGGAGACTGTGGAAGGAAGAGACTAGAGGATGCTCTACACATACACACATCAGGGTGCTTGTGCCATATACAGAAAAATATTGTTGCAAGTTGGAAAACATGCCTAAATTTAGGTACTGTCATTTACATCACTGCTTACCTACATCATTTCTATCTTTCATTTTCAGAATAAAGTCCTGAACATTGATGGAGTCAAGGTGAAGCTCCAGGTAAGAAATCTAATTTATTAAGATAATATTCTAAAAACATAGTCTGGTATATAACCTGTCCCTACAAAGGTGGAGATTATTGACAGACATCTTGAAATGCCATATTTATTTACTGTTAAATAAACACGTTGATAGGTTGAAGTCATTATCATAGGTCTGTCATAGCGAGTAGAAAACATTACTGCCATTGGAGCCAAACTCTGGGGAGATACAGCGCTGATGGGGGAGAAAGACTTAATGAGCCAATTCCACTGAGATTGGAAAACTTAGTATCAACCAGGTGATTTCTGTTCAGTGTTATGACCCTGACTGAGGTAAAAAATAAATCTGACAAAAGAAATTTTTACTACTGTATATATCCAATCTATGGTATGAGCTTCAAGCTGCAAATTGGGTAATATTTCTATACTAATGATTATGGACCAAATTACAAATAGAGGTGGTTGCAGTGACCAAAGATGTTTTGGCATCTTTTAGTGAAATGGCCTGTGACTGGTTTGGTTTAACCAATCATATCAATATTTTTACAAACCTTGCTTCCAGCAACAACTTTTGATACTCAGTATAGACAACCTCCCTAGCAAAAGATAGAAGACTGATGAAACTGACTAGCTGGTGATAAAATATGAGCTTGAATTGGAATTAATTTACACAGTACCCACATTTTTCCAATGTACAGAAAGTTGACTTTAATTAATACCATCGTTTTTTGTTGTATGTGAAAAGTACAAAGGAAATTATTTGCACACTAGCCAGAACAATTCTGCCGGTGTTGTTGAGAGCTACCAGTCCTTTTCAGTGCTGTGTTAGTAAGATAGTTTGAGTCCCATAGATCTAATTACCATATTCTATGCTTATCCAAAATCACAGAGTGAATTGAATGGGTGGTTTCACAGTGAGTGCCTTCCAGCTGAGTGAGCAAACATAAGGCTTATTAAAAAGACTGAAACTTCTTCTTCTATTTCAATGATCACCTCTCTCTCTAATTATCTGCAGATCTGGGACACAGCTGGACAGGAGCGGTTCCGCAGTGTCACTCATGCCTACTACCGTGATGCCCACGGTGAGACACACACAAATACACACTTTAATATCTTTTCCTGATTATTATACTAATGATTTAACTTTGTTCTTGTCAAAATGTGTTATTATATGCAGCTGCCATTCAGCCATTATGCAATGAAAGCCAGTGAATTTGTATGCAAATTGCGAACTTTATTTTTCCTCCCATTACATGAATATTTTGCGACTGGCATTGGATTCGAGTTCATACACTGCACACAATGAAAGGGAGTGTTGATGTTTTCAAAGACAATGCATTGCCATCAAACTAAACTTTTACAGCAGTTGTATTTCACAGCCTTTTTCGTATCAAAGCTTTTGTTCCACGCTGCAGAATTGTCAAGCGCTGAAGCTTTATAACACTTCAGCTGAGATAGAAGGGCAGCAATTTCAGGATTCGGGGACTCTCTGATGATGTGTAATCAGTCATCACATATGGGTGTGAGTCAGCGTGTGTTTATGTCTACTTTGTATTCATCTTGACGGCATTAGTCACTATGTAAGTTAATTAGAAAGCTCTTAGTTGTGACATTACATTGAGTTATCATGGAGTTGGTAATCGTGTTAAAAGTCTTTTTTGGAAGTGTCTTTGATCAAATGTGAATAACCTGGTGCATGATACACTAAATCTGAACAAACATACTCTGATTTCTCAGGCTTTTACCTATCCAGGATCTTATCCTTACTAAATAATGTTCACCAAGGAATTACTAAATAAAAATTACTGTTTAATTCAGATTTCTAAGCAGACCTAACCTGTCTTTGAGTAAGTAAATATCAGCTCTGCTTCTATGTTTTGTTTTGTTTTTTCTGCTTGATATTCACTGAATGTTTCAGTATGTGTTTGTGATTTTGTGCACTTATGTGACTGCATCACTTCCTTTCATCTTATAATCTCTGGTCATTTGGGGATTCTTGTGGGATCAACCATCTGGGTCAGTGTGCCTGTTTAAATCAATTTAAGTTTGTGGAACTTAAGCTGGGGTTTGGTTTGGTGTATGACCAACTATGCATAAATGATAGAACAAAATCATCTGTTTCCGTGTATTATCTATGCTAGGGTTTGGCGGTCAGCCTGCGTAATTACACCAGTTTCACCGAATCGTCTCTGTCTCCTGTAATAAGGGGACCCTAACAGACTTTTAGCAGGGTAAGTTCCAGGCAAGATGCCCTGGGGACATATCTTGTTTTCTCAAAACCACATCACGCATGTCTGGAATGTAGCCTTACTCGTCTTTGTGTCGGAATTCTGTTATTTTTCCATTACTGCCGTGGAGCAAATGAGAGAATGTTCCAACATCCTAATCAACTTTAGGTTCTTTTAATGCCGCTCTAAGAGCGTGTGTGAGACAAGAATTTAATAAAGCCTGAACTGCTATTGGAGAAAAATATCCAGGATGTGATGTGAATATTAAATTTTTTTTGTGGCCACTGCAGCATTAATAAAACTGTGACAGGTTCATTGAAATAGTGTAGACTTTTCTTTGCACAAAACTCTTTCTTTGTGCCTATTGGCACACACCTTCACACATCGCTTCAAAACTCATGTTGATACCAAGCCTATAAGTGCTGCTGACTGAATCTGTGCAACGTTGTTTAATCTGAACAAACTCCCGTTTCAGGACCAGACTGTCAGTCGATTTTTGAAGTCTCTGAAGCGTTGTGCAAAAGGTCTGCTGTAATGGTTCCCCAGCTTTCCAAAGCTCACACAGTTTGATCTCCCTGTCTGTCTTCATGCTGTGTTCTGTGCTTCCCCCAAAGCCTGCAAACAAACCAAAGTTATTTCCAGCAGTGTAACTTTTTTCTGCTTCTTCATGTAACCAGGCAGCTGTTGCAGGTTTTGTGTTATTTCTGACTGTTTTGAAGCTGCTTTATACGTCTGTCTACGTCAATGTACTGCTAATGCAAAGAGACCTTGGGGCAAGGCTATGACTGAAATGGTACATAAATGTTTAAGTGCTTTACAGCACAAGGCGTTTTATTTTAATTAATTTTGCAACTATATGCAAGCTGTGTACCACAAGATTAAATGTTTATAAAACATGTTCAATTTTCTTTTCCAAATGTTAAATCTTTAAAGTCCTGCATTAAATTGACTCGTCTTTAAGGTGGTATCCATGGGTAGCTTGGCACCACTCCCACAGCTCCTGTGTTTTGGATCACTCTGTGGAATTCTTGTTCTGAAATCTTGCTTACAGACAACAAATATCAACTTTTGTGTCAGATTGGTCCAACCACATTGTTGAAGATCATCACTGAGAAAGAGAACTGCTTCTCTGACTACAACCTAGAGACTAAACCCCAGCCTTCAACTGAAGAGCAGAATTCTCGAGCCCAAAGACAGCGCTCATGCTCTGTATTTATTTCTGCATGCACAGGCACATTCATTGTGAAGTCGTCCACCAGGGTCAGACTTTTAATGTTTTCTTAATGCTTCAGTTCTACTGTAACATCACAAGGCATCATTAATAAAGCAGTTTGAGCCTAACAAACATCATCACTACTCACCAACCTGGCGTCTGTATCATCTTCCTTAAAATGCAGTCATAATATAGATGCAGTCAGAATGGGGTGATCCGAAAACTGCAGCGATGCTTGAAGCGGTCAGCATGTGCACAAGGAGACAAGCAAATTAGATATGAATTTTGGTGGAGTTGCAGATCTTTTTGACCAAACCTTATACTATATCCAATGCCAAAATCCACACAAGAAAATTGTCAAAGTCCCCCAAAAAACTGATCAGACCCACAGGAAACTGTAATTGTTTTATGATTTATTTGTGACATTTTGGCATTTCCATGTATTTCCACTTCATTCAGTTTGGAAAAGTCAAACAATTCCTTCTCCTCCCTGTTTACACTCGGTGGATTTGCACTCCTTCATGAAGCTGAAATGGACAATTATAAATGAAGCCATTTGTCAGTGAAATAATATTTAGGCTATCGGAGTAGAGCTGGAGCCAGGGGCTCCACAGCTAAGGTAGCAACGCAGAGAGAGAAGTGTAGGAGCATAAAGAGACTCTGAATTAGGAATTGTTCTGCAAGAGGACATGGAGAGAACAGCGGGATTATTTTAGATGTTGGTGGATAGGCAGCGTATTTGGTGTGTGGGAGAAAAATGCAGACAGTCATCAGGTATTTTTTTTTTAGCTCAATTCAAAAGAAATCTGTGGTTATTGTTTCAGCACTGGGACATTTCCTGTAGTTAAGTTAAAGCAAGGCATACAAATTTTATCTACACAAGCACTGCATTAAAACCAAGATCAGAACAAGTTATGAATTAAAGACAGACAGACACAGAACAGAAGAGGTGGGCTAAAACAGAAGACTGGTGCATTTCAGTATTAAAAACTTAATTTGTCCAAGCTACATCTCTAAATTATATACAGGCCATTTGGTGTAGAAAAAGGGATTAGTTAATCCACTTATTTCAGACTGCATAAAAAGTAACTCCTCAGTGGGGAATCACACTTGGAGCTGCCGAACAGACTCTTAAATACACTGATAAGCTCCAAATGCCCTCAGCTGTCTCAGATGGAAGGACACCAATCTTCTGCAACATTTTTACCACTGTCAGATCTATGTATGCCTGTCGTTCACTTTTTTTGCTTTGTGATGGACAATTTTATACCAGCTTTTACAACAAAACCTCCAAAAATGCTCCTATTTGGTCATCTGTCTTTTTTATAATTTATAAATAATGGAACACCTTTTAGAAAAGAGTACAAAGTCATGTACAACCTTTCCCCAAAAACCATTTATTTCTATTACTGAGTCCATCCAGAAATGATGAGTGAGGAAAGAAGTTGTATTTGTATGTGTAGTGAGTCCACAATCTCAAAGCTGGTTTGGACGCTGATTCAAGGTGGTGTACTGTTCACTTGGACAAGAAACTAAGTCAATGGGCCATACTGGAACTGAGTCTAAATACACATCAGGGAGTAATGCAAGGTCCGATAGTAATGGGACAGGGAAGAGAATGGATATAAGAAAGAATAACCTTCAAAATATAAGAGGAATCAACAGAAATAAAGAAATTCACCTACACAAACAAGAAGAGCCAGGCAGGCAGAAAAACATCTCAAGGGTAGAGCCAATAAAAGTCTAAAAATACAAATTTTACAGCATAAACTGTGACGTGAAAGTTGTGAGTATGCTTTCATAATAAAGATTCTTCCGTTACCTATTAGTCTACCTCTGTCTTGGAGCCACAGTGATGGGAAGTGGTCCCCTATTTCATCTTAATAGCTCGGCTGTTTTTCTTTAATTGTTGCTTTTTATCAGTTCCCTTCTTCTATCCTCACAATCTCTTCATTTAAAGCTTAGCTTGACTGTGCCATGTGTTCTACAGTGCAAAAACCTTCAGATTTGTGAGGGGAAGATACTAACCAAACACCTGAAGCTGACACCTGCTGGCATTTTAACATTAGTAATAGAAAAAAGCTGGATAAGATGTTGAATTCAGATAGCAGAAAGATATCCAATAAAACAGAGACTTGCAGGTTATGATTTTAATGTGTCCTGACTTCATCCACTTAGTGGTGACCAATTGCAAAGGAGTGAGAAACACCTGCAGCACAAGTCTGGCAGACCTCAGCTTTGTTGCATAGCTGTCAGTCCTCATCGTGTTCATCCCTCCTTGGGCGCTGCCTTTCTCAGCTGCAGTGTCTCTTTTTCTTGAGTATCTTCAGGTAAACTGCTACATAGAGTTAGAACAGCTTAGGGGATCTCTCTGTATTTCATTTATATTCATTAGAATCCTTGAAAATATTAAACTTTTATATGTTTTTGTTTGCGAAATTAAGTTGGTACTCACATGAAGTTAATGCATCAAGGTTAAAGACAGTTGTTTTTTTTTAATGCCACAACTTTCTACATGGCATCTTTTGCTTTGTTTCTTTCAGCTCTTCTCTTGCTGTATGACGTCACCAACAAATCATCCTTTGACAACATACAGGTTAGTCATTCTCTTGATTAAATAATTGTGTCCATAAAACAAAATAGTACTCACTTTTATGCAAGTACATAGTATGACTGCATCACATGTCCATTCCAAAATTCACCTTAAAAGTAGTGCATGTAAGTGATCAGAGTCGAGGATGAGAGGAAGCTGCTAGTGAAGATGTCTGGGGTGGGTCTGGGACACGGGTTTCGATGCCTGACGTGTGCTTTTCAGTAGTCTTTAAAAAGTGAAAGGATGTGGCTGGATCAGGGCCACAAATGTCAAAAAATTATCTGCGACATCTCTTACATTATTCATCGTCACTGGAATAAGTGGAAGTACAATCTGACTTTGTAATGCTGAACAACATCATGACCAAATGGCAATCAGGAAAATGGAGATTGATTACTATGTCATTGTAATTTGTGGTGGGGTGGTTGGGGGAAGGCATTATGGAGTTCTTCCCATACTGTCCAGTGGGAAAAGTATGAATGAGGTCTGTGCAAAGGGGAGACTTGAATGAAATAACTAATCGGATCAGGAATATGAAGGAAGACTGAAAGTTAGGGTAGCATGGTTACCTTATTGTCTAAACTTTGTGATATTTCTCAGGAATAAAATTCAGGACGATTTAATTATTAGGTGAAAAATATTTTTTACAAATGTAGTTAACTTAGTTTCTTTTATGAATCACTAGGGGGGCATCTGTCGGCTACACTTGGCCTTATCGTTAGGCATCTAGGCCAGTACCACTAATAATGGCCAGCAGGTCAATATTAGTATTTCTGCAAGGTCATCTTAAAATTCTCTTTTTGTCTACTAGGAAGTAATGGATGCACTCGGACAGCAGGAGCACTCAGAACAGATTAGTTGATGAAGGATTAAATTAATAATAATCACATGACCACTTGTGTATATGAAACCATTTATTATTGTTTGTAATGAGACCAATTCAATCCAGAACTTGTTGTGGGCTTATAGTTTTGCTTAAACACAGCAGTTAGATCCAGTCAGTGTCATATAACACTGTTGAAATCCCAAATTGCAGCATAGTGTTTTCTTCCCTGAACTTTCTGTATTGATTCATAGATTTCAGAACAAAACTGATATTTTCTGTCATATAATAATTATGTTATATACTGTGTTAAAAGAACAAGCAAAACTCTTTCAGTTAGAAATCAAAAAAGAAATGCCAGCAGCACAGCAGGGGAGGACATGAAAAGATGCAAAAGTCTATAAAGAAAACAATTTGTTCCAATATTTAAATGGGAAAAATTGTTTTCACTGATGTTAAGAGCACAGGCTAAACAATTACTCATTCATTATCAAAAATAAATTTAAATTATTTGACAATTTGACACCAGTAAAAGTGAAATAACTGTCAGAAAGGGCTGCAAAATGGCAGCTTTTACAGAAACCTCTATTTCACCATTTACCCTCCTCAGCAACAACAGTTGTCAAAAGAGGTAGAGCTGTGTCAGCTGGTGTCACTTTGTAATCATAGCACTTGTTCCCCTCTGTGTAATAAGTATAACCTGCAGCACAAGGGGACACAATTTGCAATTGCTTTAATTTACAGTGACCAAAAAAGGATTCATTCAGTGCACCAAAGGGCTTGTTAAGGCACGAAGAGCCTGTTTGTTACCAGCCTGTGCTAGAGAAATGTGATGTGCCTATCTGCCCTGTGAGATCACTGAAGCAGGAATGATGCTTTTCAAGTCCAGATTTGAACAACAGCTAAAGTGAGAGGGGGGGGTTATGTGAGTGCAGAATGCAGAGAGGAAGGACTGATACGTTGGCAAAATAGTAACACAGGGGAGTACGAGTAGCAAACTGTCAACTATCTGACACAAAATCTAGCTAGAACAGGCCTCTGGCCCTTGTCTTCATGGTCCAACACACAGTGCTACGGGCTATTTTTTTATATGGAAGTCTTTACTGTCCCAACAATCTTCACCCATGGGTATACCTGCATACTCCTCTAACCTGCTGTGTATCAAATTTGACTTTTTAACCACATATTTACTGTATATATTTCATATATAGATATATTAGCACAAAATAACAAATTGCTAAAGAAATTTCTTAAACCCAGTGTAAGACTTTCTAAATTTATTTAACAAAGATAAAGGACACTCAGATTTGAAGACTGCAAACTGATTAGAAAATATTTAAAAGGGAGTGCAGCAGGAGTGTAAAATGGATCTCTGTATTAATTGTGACATTAATTGTGCCAAAAGTTTGCACTTCTTACTGCATTACTTTGAAAAACTAAGCATATATTATTCAGTGAAGTGCATGTACAAACATACCATATTTGAGAACGACTATAAATGAGCCTGGAAGCACTTTATTTTAGTAAACTAAGTGAGACGGGTTGTGTGGACTTATTGTTGTACTGTTGTGAGAGGCTGTGGAGCATTTTTGTGTTTGTTTCGATTATTAGCTTATCATTTACTGTTCGGGCCAACTTGGATCAAATTCCACAGTTTGTGGCCTATGAGCAAATATAAGTTTGAGACCTCTAGCTTAGTGAGCTGCAAACATTATTACATGTATACATTGTAAGCTTGGTGTAAAATGATAGATGAATGGTGTCAGTTCACTTCAGGTAATGGATCTGTGGATGTGTCAGGTTTCATAGCAGCTTGTTAAAAAAAGGTCAGAGAGATCACCAAAGGCAGTCTGATTTATTCTTTGGAGAGTATGGATATCTGCTTTTTTTTTATGGAGCTACAGTCTGAGTAGAAAACCAGCCCCTTTACGTGATTTAAATATAACTCAACAATTTTCCAAGTTGAACAAATGGAGCAATTCACAGTATGGCCTTCCAAAAATCAAAATCTGCCACTGTTTTCGTCAAGTCTCCCACTTGTTTTTGCTCTTACCTAATTAAAACTCCCTATTTGTCTTGTTCATACGAGACTATTTTTACTTTTTAGAGTTGTAAATTAGGGCTGAACGATTATGGAAAATAATCTAATTGCGATTTTTTTGCCCCAATATTGCGATTGCGATGCGATATGCGATTATTTTTTAAGGTCTTTGTCTTCTGTATTATTAAACAGACAAGCAATACATCATATAGTATGGCCAATACTATATTACATTAATTTTAAACTGTTCTTTCCTGGAAGACAGACCTCTGTTATGATGACATGAGGTGATGCATGAATTGATGACTGACATTTTTATTTAACTTCTTCAATCACAACAGTATATTTGAACATACACAATAGTTTATTTTTAGCTTACAAACATCTGAGCATAAAGTGCTGACAAGGAACCCTGGTGTAAACATTAAAATGAAAGTCAGTACAATGTGCAGATTGCAGAAATATACATAAAAAAAAATCAGTGGCTTTACCACACTCAGTTTTTCGACATCTGTGAACTACTAGACAGTCATTCAATTAAAAAATAATATTAAATAAATAAAACTAATAAATAAAAAATACACACATCTTACTGATCTCTGTAGTCAGTAACATTACACATAAAGTGCAAACATAATAGCAATTGTATAAACACACACACAAACACGCCTTTAAAGTTTAAAGGCGTGAAATTGGACGGTCTAGCCTTCTGATTAGCGTCACCGCTGTCTCGGTGGAGTTTAATAAACTCGGCCGTCTGCTTCTTGCTATCTAAAATATAACCAGACACTGGTGTAAATTCTCGACTGTCTCATACTTCTGTTTAATAAGTTTTCTGTTTGACGTTTAGTCAGCTGTGTGAAAACCAAGGAGGAACCCACCCGGGGGATTAATAAAGTTTTATTTTATCTAATCTAATAACTTTAATCTCAGCCAAACCGATTTACTCACGAACAAACAAAACACTGAAAAAAGCCCAACAATAACATTTTTAGGTTGTCTAAGTGACTTATATATTACGTTTAACCCGAGCAGCGAAACTCCGCGGTGATCTGAAAATGATGTGCCGGGAGTTGTGCCGCTCTCGGCCGCATCAGTAACCCTCGAGCTCCCAGCTAGCTGTCGAGCTGGTGGGTAGCAGACGCCTCTGAAAACGTCGAAGCACTTTTGCAAATATGGGATATCTTGATAAACCGAGCAGATATTTGATGTTTACACAACTACTTTCTCGCCTGAAAATATGTTAAAAGTTTATTTTGTGACCCAGAAAGATTAGTATGAGTAATTTTAAAACTTAGTAGCGGCCGCCATTGTTGGAAACTGGAGTTTGGCTGGGCCGCGCTATGAATTCTGGGATATGGTAGTAATTTGGACAGCCTTCGGCGCGTCGCTGTGACGTAATCGGTCTACAAATGCGGCCTCAGGAGGATGCAGCCCATGAATTGTATAATATAATCGCAGTATAATCGCAGCCTTTGCGGTTAGAAAATTGCACTTGATCATGTCGCGATATTATCGCAATGCGATATATCGTTCAGCCCTATTGTAAATGTAGGCACAAATAGTATGATAAGCAAAGTTAAATGAACAGCTTGACTTTCTGTCTATTTTTGGTTGTTTCACAGCTTGGTGGAGTCACCCCCACCACCACCGCCCCCGAGATTGTTGACGTTTATTTAATACAGTTATAGTCTCCTACTGATACATTTACACTAATCCTCTGAGGCACAGATTGACAAGTCCTTCCCCACCCTGCTCAGCCTTCTCCCTCCCTGTTTCATATCCTTCCACCACTCTCACACTCAGTCAGTGTCTATTACAGGCAGGAGATATGTTGGCGGTAAGCTGCAGATTCCTGCTGGCATACTGCTGCCTAACGAGCACTAACTCATGTTAATGAACACTAATGGTGATGAATGCCACTCTGAAGGAGAAGCAGAAATGAGATAGGCAAATAGTTCTCCTTTTCTCGTGCCCTCAGAACCGCTCCCCTCTGCAGTGTTTCGAGGACACAATTACAGCAGCACATTAACATCATTCGAGCTGTCAATCATCTCTGAGAGAAAGACTCAACATGTAAGGCAATAGAAGTCCAATCAGTTCATCTCATGAATGTTCCAGCCGCTGTCACTTGGATTA